GTCTGAAAAAAACTCGAATCAGGTGCTAACTTCCCTTACATTAAATTTTATTATTCTAAAAATTTGTCTGTATGAATCGATTGTCAACAGATACTGTAAAGATAATAGTATTGTTGAATTAACAATAATAAATAATTTTTTATGAAAAAAAAGTTTCAAATAGTGGCAAAACTACAACGAACAGAACTTCTACTAGAAATGTTCAAGCTTTGTTGGAAAATTTGAAAGTACTGCGAATACTGATGTGAGTTATTCTCGAAAGATGTACCAAGCAATGTATGGTATTTCTAAAGGATATTATCACTAAAATCACGACACGCTTACATAGACGTATTCATTAAGTAGGTGGGAAGATAAATAAATATTTACCTACGTATTTATCTATCCGTCTATAGACTACGTAGACCGATAGGTAGATAGATGTATATATACCTACCTATTAAAAATTTGAAAACAGAAATATTCTTATGCATAACATAAACATTACAACATCAAATAGAAACTAATATAAGCTATCTTTCTCTTAATAAGATTATTTTATATATTTGGAAGAATACCGAAACAATAATTCATATTCACCAGCATCGAATACCAAATATTATTTTTCCAGTAACTGTATCGCACAAAAAAATAGGTATCTTCCCACACAAATCGTGTGTCTTAGCGCGTCACGAAAACAAAAGACTCGCCCAAGAGAGATACAGACACACATCGTCTCACTGTGAACGCCGCAGAAACACAGACGCAAAAGAAAGATATCTATACCCATAGCTATCTATTTATCAGTCTATCTCGGTATAGAATGATATGCCCATTGGAAGCAAAATTCTAACGATAATATCATTGAGATTTGTCATGGACTCTTATGAAATGCTGCGTCGCCAAAAAATTTGTTCTTCTGGCTACACTGCTAGTATTAAATCGATTTTAATGATAGATATTTACATGATTTAGCTTTTCCTAATTCTTATTTCTTAATTTATTCAAGATCTTTGTTTTATTACGAATAAAATTATGAAAAATATTAGTATTCATGATATATTCATGTCAAAACAAACAATAAAAATTTGATTAATGTATAATTATTTCAACAATATTCGATTACATTTAATATCTTTTACATTCATTTCATTTACGAAATCGTTATAATTTTTCTATCTAATTAATTAACATGTCTCGATATTTAAAAATATCTAAATTTTTTTTTTCTATTTGTCAAATATTTGCCTGTCAAGATAAAAAAGATATCACTAACAACAGTCAATGTGAGTTATTTCTATGTTCTGTGCACTAAGTATGTTACATTTACCCAATTGAAAAAAAAAAGAAAATACGCAACTATACTCGACAAACAGAAGTGTACTGATACTATAGAACACAAGAGCTATTTACAGTAATTGTTAGTAATATCTATTTCACTTTATCTTGGCAAGTAAATATAAGTAATGAGAAAAAAAATTGCACTTGTTTTTCAATATTAATATATATTTTTATTTATCAGAAATAAAAAACTATATGGATTTTGAAATTGAAATGAATGTAAAAGATATTAAATCTAATTGAATATTATTGAAATAATTACACATTAATCAAACTTTATTGTTTTTTTTTTCATTTTAGTATGACAATATCATCAGTATTAATATTTTTCATAATATTCTTCCTAACAAAGCAAAGATCTTATTAAACTGATGTCCACGTATTTAGATTAATCTATATCAAATAGTTTCATTCTCTAATGTTTTTTTTTAATAGAGCAAATCTGGCAATATTTAATCAAGGTATTGTTGTCTGTTGACATTATAACAGAAAACTATTAGCAGAATTTCCATTTATTTTAATGAGAACTATAAAAAAATAATATACTAAGTAAATGTTTAAATATGTATAGCATAGCTATTTGTAATAATGATAAAAAAATTCTGTTTTCCAATGAACTCGATCGTCAAAGTTAAAATCATGAACAAGAAAAACAAAACGTATTCGAAAAAATCATTTGTCTATCTGTTATTTGATTAAGAATGGAAAGTCTTAGGTAAAGATTAGATTTTTCTTAATTGAAAAAAATTTTTACAAGAGCCACTCATGACTCCGAACATTGTGAATCTTTTTTTATATTCGACATCTAAATTAAAAATATATTTTTAATGACGTTCGAACTTTGAACATTTACAGTAAAAGGATTTGTTTCGTCATAATCGTTTTCCAATAGACTAAATTACCCGTAATAAGAGCTAAAAATATTTATTATTGGTAATAGGATTGTATACACTCCCACATTATGTTTTCTAGTATATACATTGTAATGATTTTGTTGACATAAAATGTTTGCTTATATTTTCATAGTGACTTACAACCTAGCTCAAAGCATTTGGTTTCTAATTCCTATTAGATACATAAATAATATTATATAACTAAAAAGGAAGTATTATATTTATCAATAAAAGTCTTTAACTAGAAAAATTTAAACAATATAGCGATATATGAATGAAATATATCACATGTAAAGTTTGACTTGCAGCATGTAATCACTAATGAAAAACAAAAGTCTGATGAAAAAAACAGAAAACAGTAGTATGATATCTTCAAAAAATAAAAGTAAATATTTGTCTTGTTTGTTTCTTCGACATATAAATCAATCTGTTTCTATTGACAAACGTTACAAATAATAAAAACTGATCTTTTAACTTTCTCAAATCGATCTTAATCTATTCAATGAAAGAAAAAAAAATAAGATCTGATAATAAGTACCCTATTCTTATGATGAATAGATTGAAATCAGATTGTTTTGTCAACGAAAAAAAAAACGACATATTTCGTTCTGTGTATTTGTTTAAATGTTAAAAACACTTAAAACAAAACTTTACAAATAAACAATAGAACGAAAAAGATTTTTATGAAAAGACGTGTTAGAGTGCATCTTATTTTTTGTGGTATTAATAAACGTGAGAATATTGATAAAAGGACAACAAAGACTAGCAAATTGAATATGATAAAAACAAATAGGCAAAACAAAAATAGAAAATATAAGATTATATGCAATATGTACATGAACTTCTGAAAAGCAAATGAATATTCTTAAACATGATTGGTTTATTTTCTATTTCATTTAAATATCATTGTTCTGACTAATTTTCTTTTTTTTTTCTTTCTTTCTTAACCCTCGCGTACTAGTAAAAAAAAAGTACGTTTTGAAGTTTTATTTTATCATAGCATTTGAATAGAGAAAGAAACAATAATTATTTATTACGAGAGAAAAAAAAGACTGCTTTTATTTTAGTAGAATGAAAGACGTGAAGAAAGTCGTGTAAGCTACTTTCAAATATATGTCAATAACACATTTCTTCATCAGTTTTATGTTCGATTTCTCTACTTTTTTTCGCACTCAAAGGGCAAAATAAAATCATTTCTAACAATATTTATACTTATATACATATATTTGGACATTTTTAAATATGGATATAATGTAAACAAATTTTATAGGTATATATATATATATATAATACTTCAATACATTATTTTTACAGGAAACCGTAAAAAAAGAATTGTAATGTTCGTCAAATATTAAAAATAATAAACATATATGCACTTCAAAATTTTTTTATACGGAAT